TCTACTTTTTTCACGAATTTCAGCTCTTAATGAGATTGGTCAGTCGAATGGGGTATTTTTGATAGGTTAGCTCAGATTCTACGACAGCTACTAATTTAAAAGAGTCGTGCGTAGCCATCGATATACAATATTCTATATTATTGAAAATATTATAATTATAATTAATCTCTTATAATATATTGTAATTATTATTAAAATATAACAATTTTAAAGTCTCCAATACCAACCATGTTTATTGATACTCGGTGTAATTGCGGGACTCATTATAACTCCACGAAATTATATATCAGCACCCAATTCGCTCCAAAAATAATTTACCATCGCCGAGGGGTAACAAGAGAAACAATTTCGAACTAACGTTCGTGCACAGAGATAAATTTAGCAATTCCTAATACACTGTTCCGCAGCGAAGCGTGAAACGTATTTGTTTGTCTCTCTGTGTCGTACTCGGAACTCGGGTCGAAAACGTGAAATATGTAAATACAGGGTTCATACGACTAGGGAGCAACCACTTAAACGAGTTTCAAACGCAGAAATTAGAATTCCGAGAAGAGGGAAAATTGTAATCCAACGTGGACACTATTGTTACGTTAAATTTACTTGTACATGATGTATGCGTAAGAGAGAAATAGAGAATGGGAACCAAGTTCCTTTGTGCAGGACGTTTGAAGTCCTTAAATGATATAAAAATTGCAAACTGCGGCCGTGGGTGGACCGAGAGTACCTCATAAAGGAAAGCACGAACATAGAATGCTAAAGAAGTGGCGGGCTGTAGGGGTGCGAGCTGAAAAGAAAAATGCCTGAAGAGCCGAAGTATCTGAGATGAAAAACTGTATAAATCCATTCGCTTCTAAGAAAGATGGAAGCATGAATTTTTTAAGAACGCGATAAGTAGTTTTAAGTTATTATTGCGTATCTCTAAAGTTTTCGAGGTTTGTGCAAATCCTATGGCAAAATAAGTATTGCACTTTAAAGTATGAATACAAATAGGCAATGTGAGATTAATGAAGTTGTAAATTTAAACATTACCGACTACTTACTATATTTTCGTTATTGTCTATATTTCTTTTTTTTTATTTGGGATCAAAAGTATATTTTAGGGAACTGGAACAATAGATATTGTTGGAACGGTTAAACAAGCCAAATTTAAATCTTTTTATTGTACTGATCTTATGATTGTGTTTGAGAGTAATAACAAGCAGTATTAATTATTAAATAAAATAGTGAAGCTACACAAAAGGTGGGGTAGTTTTTAACCCATCTAACTTTAAAGAGTTAATAAATAAGAAATTAAACCAAACCGATCCTTGTCAACAACGTCTACTATAAATGTTTGAATTAACATATCCACAAAACTTTCGCACCCCTGAAACGATTCTTATCTTCAGCTACGAGTATTAAAGTGAGTTGTCGAAAAATATCCCAGCGTAATTAATTTTTGTGTCAGGCCGAGAATTAATTCCGACCGTGGAGAGGTGGAATAATCATCGTTGCAAAGTGGTTCCACTCGGACCCACTCGTCTTACGCGTTATGCCACCAGCGAACGCGGTCTGGGTATCTTCAACGTAGCCGATCTTATCTCGGTGCACTTGTAAAGAGCGCGTGGAGTTAATGAGACGGAAGAACGAGCGCAGCGATATTGCAAGTTTGAGAAATGGCCTCATAAAGGCGTTACCGCGCCATTGAAACGCTAGGTGAAGAGTAGGAAGGATTGAAATGTTCACGAGCCCGCAGGACAAAAAACCGCTGTCACGAGCTTTCAGGATGTACGATCCCAGCTCGCGTAATTACGCGCTGGTAATCCCGCGGACAATGGTTATGTGTTTTATAACACGTATTAAAAAATAACGGAGCACTGGAAATCTCGTTGAATTGTATTTCGTTGGCTCCGGCCGACGCTAACTGTGTAATGTAGCAAAGTGTGCGTTGCGTCGGTTGGTATCAGATTGCGATGAAATCAACCCAACATTTACAAACGAGGTTATACTGATCGAAACGCATTACTCTATTTCTCATATTAATCACTCTTTTTTTTTTTTTTAATTAATTAGAACGATATCCCATATCTGAGTTCCACACTCGTCAGCCACTTGTAAATCTAGAAACAAAAGTATTTCATTTCCGGAAGAGCAAACATCGAATACACTTGTCCCTGCAAATTTGCCTTTTATTACCAATCGAAAGCTCACGTTTATCCCACAATTTCCATTCAAAGCTTGCTTACGCTCTGTGTTCACAGAATTGCCAGCGTTTGGAAGTTGCATACTCCATTTTGAACACCTCTGAATGAAACACAAAGAAGAGGTAGTAGACTTCGTCTCAGGTTCCATCGCGTTTGCACGATGCGCCAAAGACGGTCGGTCCCTTCTTAATTCGTTTCGATGGCGTTGCAATTAAGCCGAGGCAACAGCGAAATTTATTTTTCTCCCGCATAAATGACGTTACCGTTTCGAATGGTACCTCGAAGGTACCGTTCCATCGCGGCTTTGCGAACGAGGCAGGAGAGTCGAAACGATCCCTAGTGTCGGGCAGATGTTCCTTGAAGAGCACTTGTCTGGTCGGGTGAATTATCGACTTCGCTACTTCCACTGCGATCCATCGGATCGTCCCACATACTCGAAAAGACTGGAAATTTCGCCGCGCCTCTTCTCCCTTTCATGTGGTTTGAGTGTGATCCAGCCAGCGATCAGAGTACCTCACGTATCTGCCTGTCTGCTCATGGTCAATTTAAATTAAAGGAAACATGTTCCTGCTTATTCTTAACCAATACTCTATGTCTATACGGGTATATAGAATTATTGAACCAAATATTACTGCAATTTATATTTTCAAGTGTGCGAGTATGTATTAGGTATTTTTAGGTGTTTTAATATATTTTTCATCAACGCAATGCCTACTGGACATAACGATAAAAATCACATGTAAATAAGATACACATTTCTATATAGTAGTATCTTTGTCACAAGTTTCCCTAGCTAACAGACGCCTTTCTCTTTTCTTTTTCATGTTATCTTCTGTGGCCCGCTTTTCCATTGGCTGTGTCGGTGATTTTGGTGATGGCAATGGCGACGGTCACACAACAACGATACCCTTACAATCCACATGGTAACAACTACACGCTGATTAACTCTGGTGATGGCGACCACGATAACTCGACGATGTGTCGTTGGGATGGTGACCACAATGTCTGGTACACCGTGGTGACGGTGACAACAATGACACGTTAATAAATCACGGGGGGTGGTGACCACGCTACCATACTAACGAACCATTCCCCTGATGACCGCAATGGTGCACCAACGTTCCGTTGTATACCTTCTCGGTCCAATGACTTAATTGCGCTCATTACTCATCCTTTGATTGCTTTTAATTGCACTGCTACTCTCCACTGCTCTCTATATCGTGCTTTCTCGTCTTAAATAACATCAAAAACATGCCTTCTACTAACGCTATGTCTCTACCCTTCACTAACCATTTATTACCATTCTCGTATTACGCTTTAAATTCCACCGCTATTATCTATACATCTATACCTATACCTCTTCCTGCGATTCCTCCTTACTATTTCGAAACCTCGCTATCTCCTACACCACCATTCAATATTATTTCAACATCCCGCCATTTTGTATTGTGATTATAAATCTTCATAAAACTACTCATTCTACCTTTATCTTGCATAAACTGTTCTCTTTAAACTCTTAACCATCACGACTGAACGAACAATTGATTTCGAAACGTTTTCAATTTTGCCTGTTAACATCATCTTCGTTTAACGTCGTTTCTATTCTTACCTGTCCATGAATTTCCCCTAACGAAACGTCTGCGGTCCCGCGTGCAAACTCGCCACCGAATTCCACAAACGTGTCCCGTCATTTGGACGTCGTGTATTTCGCGTGCAAACGAAACGGGCGGCGCTTTCGCGAGTGTCATCGATACATCGCCGTTCGACCGATCCCCGATTGATCCACTCGTTAATTACCGCGAATCCCTCCGAACTGATCACCATTGCGGCGACACCGTTACGGGTCATCGATCGATCGATCCCTCCGCTCTCGTGTGTTTCCTTCCTTCCTGTCGTCCCTGTGAATTCGCGCCCTTTTCAACCTCCCTTTTATACGCGTTTCTTTTCAATCGGTTTTATTGCGACCATCCACTGTCGATTTTGCATACATCGCCGTGTATGCGTGTCTCTGCGCCTGTTTCTCATTGTGCTCGCCGATATTCGATGTCGCTGGACCTATCGGCAATTTTTCTGCGATTCTGATTTTTATTTCATTTCATTCAAATTCATATTTAAATTTGTAAACCATTTTTCGATTTAATAATTCCACGTATCGTCGAATAATCGGACTGCGAATAATTTTTTAAATTTAATAACTTTGAATTCGATTGGGAAATTTTCATGGGATTCTGTGTACCATGGAGGACTTTTTATTTAATAATTGTTAAATGTCGTTGAATAATTCTAATGCATTCTTTCGAAATATTTATTATTTTTAAATTTATAAATCGTTGAATACCATCGTGATATAATTATCCATAATCTCGTGTCTACTTACCTCGATCATACAACTTTAAAATAATTTTTTTGAAACCTATTTGCCTCCCTTTAACCACCAATTTACGTTTTAATATTATCAATCCTATCACTTACCAAATATACCTCGCGATTCCTTCACTCTACGCCTTCTACTTCCTATTTCCTTTCAATTTATCATACCCTATTTTACATCCCCTTAAATCAATTTTATTTTTTACATACCCTTCCGACGACAATTTACCTCTTTTTTTATACGCTCGATCCAATAATCTTAACCCCACATCGTGACATATAAATACCATACACTGTACGCAAACTTTGCGCGTATACTACTTCCTACCTACTCGTGGCGTAACAAATTCCCTGATAATTTGATCCCTTGGTCCAATATTTGATGCCAACCATTCTTCAAACACCGATCGTGTCCTACGTTTTATGGTCACGATATTAAAACGACAGCCTTGTTATCAGGCACCCTGAAGACCTACCAGCGCGCAGCCTGCGACGAGGAGTTGATGACGCTAAAATGTCCAATTGGCACTACCATCTCTGTTGCTCTCGCTCAATATGGTTCGGCAGGGGCGAATGGCACCGGAGGGTGCACATCCTACTATCCATTGCGGCTTGCCGAGGACAAACTGAATGACGTATGCGTCTGGCCCCAAGCGCTGCAGGTATGTGTCAAGAAAGCATCTATTTACCCAATCGATTTTTTTAACCGCTGGAACCCTCCACTGTGGGCTACAATTCCCCTGGAATTTTTAATAATTATTCGTGTGCGCCTTTAATTAGTATGTATCGAATATTTCACGTCTTAGTAGTTTCATATATCGATTTAAAATATATCGAGGAATGGATTTTTATTGGTTGTGGGGGGAAATATTTGTATAGGTTTTATCAGGTGTATAACATTATATATACAAATTTGCCTATTATTCCAATTTATTTTTAGTTGTTATTTCGTTCGTTTAATTCTTAAATTTTTGCTGTGTCAACTGTTAGTAACCTTTTAACTTTCCTTCGAATTAAAATGTCATCAAGAATATTTGTTAAGCCTTCCTGTAATGTGATTAAAGTTTTCATTGGCAAACAAAGCTGCTTGAAAACATATAGTTTCCACTTCTAGACACTTCTTTCGAATGAAAGACAACAAAGGTGCTCAGAATAGTAACATAAAGTGAAACACCATCTCTTTAAATTTCCTTCGAGTCGAACAGTGGCTTAAAATATTTTTTTGCACCTTTCCGCAAGGCAAACAAAGCTCCGCCAGACAGTAACTCGAATAAGTGCCGTCGTAAAGCATAGTACACCAGGTGGTCCGATTCGACTCTACAAAAGGCTTACAGTTGGCTATTCCAGAGTTGACGTTTCGCCCTCTCTGTTTGGAAAGTTTATCTGCCATTTTATATTTATTGGCTTCTCACGAAACCCTGATTTCTAATCCAGAAGAAAGACGCAGACGATTGCCTTGGCGCCCTCCGACTACCACCCCCTCTTTCTCCTGCGAAGGAAGTACCGAACCGTAAGGAATCGTAAATCGGATCCACTTCGCTGAGTTAACCCTTGTACGGTTCAACCCTCGTAACCTCTGCTTAGGTTTGTAAGCTCTTGCACTGGAAACGCCCTCTGAAAAAGATTTCGATGCAGACCCTTTCACCACCGAGATTTCGTATCGAGCTTTAGTGTTTCGTGTACGCTGCACGTCGATGGCTTTCTCGATCCTCCTCTCTCTCTCTCTCTCTCTCCGCCATTTGCAAACTGGAATTCGGTGAACTTTAAGTGTCCTCCTTACTAGCTCTAGTCTTTAGTCGAACTCGTAGACAGCATTCAGAAGGTATTACAGGTATTCAGAGAAAAGAAGGGTAATTGAAGAGAAGGGGTGCTACCTCACATCGTTAGCGTTCATAAAATTTAGACAAACGCAAGTAGAAAAGTCGAGTAATGGTCAGACGTGCGTCCCAGAAATTGTCTACATAAATTTTCTCTAAAAAGAAGACACTTGAAGAAATATTTGTCTGCGCATTTCCCATTCGTATTTGTACGAGGAATTGCCTCCTTTTCGGTTGCATCGCGAATTTTGACCGCCTTTTATCATTTGCCCTGCATTTCTCGGTTACGTTGCCCAGAATCCCCGTTTCGAGCCGTGCTTCTTTCGTCGAACAAGTGTGCTGGTCTCACGCTCTACGAAACACCAAAGTGTCGTTTTCAGGTCAGTTGCCGCTATCTTTCGAAGGTGGCTTTTAAATGGCGGCTATATCTTCTTGCGTCTCTTTCGTCCCCTCGGACTCTTCGCCTTAGTTTTGCTCGCGAATTGAAGACGAGACAGGACTTCGAAATTGTTATCGACTTTAGTGGCCATGCATGTACGTTTTATGAGACGTTTTTTACATCTTCGCTAGCATTCTCTGTAAATATAATCTCCATCAAAAACAAAAGTTTATTAGAATACTTACAGGTGAGTACTAAAAAACATTTTACTAAAAACGCAAACGGAAGAGGACCGGACGTAGTTTCAGGATCGGTTAGAGATTGAATACTGTATTTAGCGGAGCAGGTGAGTCAAAATAGAATAGGAAGCTGTAAGTTTGTCGGTCTGCACACGCTCGACGAGACAGGGAAGTGTCGTTTTCAGGTCAGTACCCGGTATCTTTTCGAAGGTGGCTTTTAAATGGTGGCCATCTCCTAGCGCCTCTCGGTTTTCCTCGCGTTTTGCTCGCGTGCCAGGTACGAGACTACTTCGGAATTGCCACTGAATTCCCACCGAAAAAGGAGCAACGTTTCGCGCGCCCTCGAGACCTCAACCCTTGTCGAGTTTTCTTTCAACATTTCGTTCGCGGTTGAAATAAAACGAGAATCGCGGTTGCTTACCGCGTTTCCAGTCGCTTCGCCTCCAGCCAATCCGTGAATCCTGTCTAACCAGGCTTTGAGGGGGAAAAAAATTGTTTTTTTCCGGCTTTCGCCATGCTCATTCGCCCCTTTCTGCAGCGTCAAGATAGAGAAACGAGCAAACGGGGCCTGCGATCTCCAGGAACGAAGCGTCCCGTATGTTCCGCTGCGAGGATTTCAGGGTTTTCGTCAGCCGGAGGAGTAATTTGCGGGTTGCTTCACGCAACAGCGATTAGTAACGCGAACTGGGTTTCCAGGTTTCGCTTGCGAAATTGTGCTTGTTTGCGTACACAATTAGCTGTTACGTGGAACGTATCTCGCGAAGAAAACTGGCTTTCCTGAGTTTCATTAAATTCGGTTCTCTGGATATCGCGGAACAAATTCGGGAGGACGCCTCTCCGTTTTAGAAGGTCCCGTTATAGTTTGGTACATGAGTTTTATTTTATATCTTGAGGGGTTTTTTTTTTGGTTATTTGTATGTATAGATGAATTGATCAATTTTGTAACTGATAAATAAATGATTGAATCTGTAGAGGTATTACGAGTTCAGGTGATTAATTATTATACGTAAATCGTGCAAAATTTTATTGGTGAACTTGACGAGTATTGATTGTATAAATGATGAAGACTTAAATTGACAGTTAAGATATTCAATCAAAAATGTTTCCAATACCCTGATGAAGTTAATAAGGTCTTAACGTTATTTTGGTAGGTACGAAATTTTGATGCATCAGACCAAATTTTAGTTTTCACTGTGAATCTAGCTTGAAGCTTTCAAAACCTAAACTTTTTCCGTCGAACAAAAGTACGTTGACATCTCGCGAGAAATTTGAATTGTTCGGGGAAAAGTTCGATTTCGTCGAATTCTGGGTAGCTTGTATGGACGAATGGTGTAGAAATTCCTTCAGAGCAGGGAAAACCCTTGGTAAGCCACGCTACAACGATAATAACTTATCGATGAAGCCACAATAGGAATTTTCGCGGTTGTCCAATGGCCAGGAAAGAGGTACGAGGATTTCGTATTGATTTTCTATTTTACGTTTCCACTGCTCCAGAAGGGAAGTATTGTGTGTGATCCCCACTGCAGCACTAGTGGCGAGAATAAAATAACTTCCCTTATTCAGCCAATGATGTTGCGGTCGCCTACGGTTCCTATCTTTCTTTGCAGACCTCTCTACCTATTCGTTTATTCACTTGGCTATCCCCTGTGCCCGACTTACAACTTTTTTCCAGCTAAACACTTTGCCGTTGGAATGGAATGTATTCACTTTACGTTCGAGGTCTTACCAGCTGCGAGGATTTCTCGAGGATGAAATTTTAACGGGGAATCCTAAGATTGGTCCAACTGTTTGATACTAAATTTAAAATGTAGGCTACTAGGGGCTACGAAATACGTACTTAACACCGGCAATAAAATGAAAGATCAACCTGTACTTTTAAGTGTTGATTTTTGTACAATTTCTCAAGTTTCAAATTATTATTTCACACAGGGTAAATTATTCCCTCCAAAAACTACTCAAGCACGCTCAATAATGACACCAATTCCCACAAGTACTTCCAGTATTCAAAAACAGCTGATAGAAATAACAATTCACGCAAGTACGTGGTAGAACAAGAACTTCTCTCTTTCATTTCACTTAGCACAGGGCGATTACCCCTGACGGCGTAAGCAACTTCAATTCCACTCGTTTACGTTTTTCAATGGGGCTTATCGGAAACGTTACACGGGAAACGTTATGCCAAATTCGGTAGCTAAGAGAAACGAAGTCCTCGAACGTCGGATGGCATCGCGCCAAAATACTCCCGCTATTCTGATTGCTACGGTAACATTTATTATTCCTGGCTCTGTAACCACGGGAAACGTTATTCGGATTTACGGGAACGTGTTGGGGGGAGGGGGGAGGGGGGAGGGGGGGGGCCACGTGAATTAAAGGTTCCACCGGGTGTATTCCCAAGAATTTTCTTAAGTAAACGAGATCTCTTTCGCGGGAACACTGGCGAGCCTGGTATTAAACGCGGGCATTAAGTAAAAGATTACGGTACGCAATTTTGCAGCCCTTGAAAAACCTAACGCTAGCGAGCTTTGAAAATTAAAACTTTCCACTCGGCCTCGTTATTTTCTGTTCACATTCTAACGAGGGTTTCAACGAAATTGGGTCTCTAACTGGGAGGAAACCGTGAATTCGTTTCACTCTGCGTGTTTTACCTTAAAAGTAAACACAGTTTCACAGTTAGAGTGGGCCGAGATTTATTTTTTGTAATTTTGTGCTAATTTTGTATTCTTGGCTCGTGTGTCATCTAATGTGTGATGTTCACAATCAGTATTAATAGTTATAACTAGACTGCGGATATTTATCCATTTTTGGCAAATGGGAATGTGAAGAAGTTTACGAAATTGTGCTAAAGTCAATAATATACCAAAATATAAATTTGCACAAACATTCCTATAACCATAATTTTTAATTGAAGTTTCAACTGAAATAATGGTTTTTAATACCATGTATAATATTTTATAGTAGCAATATATGACGATTTGAAAAATGATTAAAGAAACAAGTTTGAAAACACGATTAAAATAATAATTCTTTACACCACCATCTATCTGAGATAAACTAACGCAGAAAGCAATCACTACAGTGTTCTTCCTATCGCTTTACGAAAGAACGAACATATTTTCATTCATAAACTCTACACTCGATCAACCTAAGTTTGCATATACATTGGTTTCTCTTTGAGAAAAAGTTCGTTATTAAACGCGTTTTAATTTTTCAGCAAAGCGTAGAATTCA